TGCAGTCTGAAGATGTAGTGGTATTGTAAAAACCCAAAGCCCACTTTATCAAGAAGTCTAGCCTGTGACATAACAGTATCACAGGACGGATATCCATGGGCGTGTCTAACAACGGCCGAAACCTAGTTGAGCTTTAGAGGTTGCATATGTTTTTAAAGCCGCTGAATTCAACCTATTAACAGCATGGGTAATAATAATAAGTCATGATGTACTGACGCCAGTTGGTAGGCATCATCAAAGAAAGACTGAGCTGTGTGATGCAGAATTCGGCGCTCGGTTTGCAGGGAAAGTCCCCAACTGGTACAATGATGTAGTGATTACAGTCGATACCAGGATAGCAAGCGAATGCGCACACGTAACATGGATTCATCTCGGAATCGAAACATATTGCAGACGATCAGCATAGCTCTCGCATGAGAAGTGGAGTGGGTAGAATAAATTGAGTATGAGGAGCTGGAGGAGGTAGAGGGCGAGTAGGAGGAGGAGAAGAAGGAGAAGGAGGAGGAGTGGCAGCAGAAGTAGGAGGAGTGTTAATCGATATAAGGCAAATCAACAGTTACCTCATCCACGTGCTCTTTGAAACAAAGATCGCATAGCTGATTTTGACAGTGAGGGCACACCGGGCAGTGTTCAAACAGACTCCTACAGAGGAAGCAGGCAACAAGTCCGGATTCCTCGTCCCGTTGCCTTCGCACTCCCTCCTCCAGCTTGTAGTTTCTTTCTAGTTCCGATACATGGTAGTCATTCTGGCAGTAAATGCATTTCGCGTGGGTGGACGAAAGAGTCGGAAGAAGACATGGCCGCCGACAGAAGCTATGACCGCACGGCAGACGGTAGGGATTACGAAAGCTGACAGAAACAGAGGATAGGCAAAAAATCGTATCACAATGAGGGTATGCGTTAAAGTAACGGGTCAGAGGGATTGGCTCGAGATACGACAAAGTGAGTTTTTGCATGGCTGAGACCTCGAAGGTGTTAAGCTTTAAAGAATGCCGCAGTCAGTCTGAATGCCAACGTGACCCGTTATCTAACAATCAACGAAAACCGGGTCCCAGTTACCATCTGTGGCTCAGTTTTTAAACGCACAATTTTAATTACCAATAACACCTTGCGACTCGACATGTCTTCCAAAACGTAGAATTAAAAAAAAACAGGGAATGTCCGCAATTTACTCACTGAAGATGCAAATACAGGGATCAATAACATTCCTTTAGTGAACGTAAGTAAGTCGCAATGAGAAAATTCCTCGCACACTCGACGCTCTTATAAAATATACGGCGAAAAAGCCATCTGTGATCTCAACATACAGTGAGTGACCTATCTCATGAAATGTTGGGTAAAATTCTGAAAGGTGTTTTCGATTAGGAAGGATTACTTAGGCGCGGTTGTAATACTAATTATTTTTCGGAATAATCCTATAGTATTTCGGACTTGGCAGAATGTCGGCTTTTAAACACACTGCTTTTCAATCTCCAGGAGAAAACGTACTCGGTAAAAAATGACTACTTAAGTAGCATGCATTCTCCCCCTTGATTTTCGATGACCTTGCCAATTTAAATATATCTTATAGAAAACATAAACAAAAATACGCTTTCTTTCAGTCAATTAATAGAGAATCACGTCTTTTTCATATTTTTTATTCAAGGAAGGAGTATAATTAGGTTTTTAAAAAGTTTCTAATTATGAGAGTTTTTAAGACCGAGCAATGCCCATTCACATAGCATCGTACCTGGACGTTCATGACAGCTCCTCGTGAAATGTACAACGTAGTCCGGATCCATTGCAAAATTTAATTAACGCTATATGGTATCTTCCTTAACGCATAGAGGAATATGTGATTTTCCTCACGTAGAAAGCATGCACCTTGTAAACTGAAATCGCTAAACGCTAATGGAATGGCGGATCTGGCTCAAAATTATTCGGGAATTGGAAAACTTTTTTAAAACCTAATTATACTCCTTTCTTGAATAAAAAATATGAAAAAGACGTGATTCTCTATCAATTGACTGAAAGAAAGCGTATTTTTGTTTATGTTTTCTATAAGATATATTTGAATTGGCAAGTTCATCGAAAATCAAGGGGGAAAATGCATGCTACTTAAGTAGTCCTTTTTTACCGATACGTTTCCTCCTGGAGATTGAAAAGCATTGTGTTTAAAAGCCGACATTCTGCCAACTCCGAAATACTATAGGATTATTCCGAAAAATAATTATTATTACAACCGCGCCTAAGTAATCCTTCCTAATCGAAAACACCTTTCAGAATTTTACTCAAAATTTCATGAGATAGGTCACTCACTGTAAATTAACAATGAGAAAACCACAAAAGACTGTCGAGTGAGGCAAAAACATTTCTGACTTATAACCCTAACATGAAATCACTTACATTTTCGAATTAACTCTCGTCTCTAGTTGGCATGTAGGACGCAATTGTTCGGAAGTCTATGGGGCTAAAGTCATTTAGACACATTTTCCTATCATTAGGTGCAAACGCAGGGTTGATGCGATCGCAATTTCGCGGCGCAGTTTAAAGGACCATAGAGCATTTTAAAATCCTGAACACCAAACCCAGAACGTAATTTTCCTACAGTTTGATGCATGCGAAGGGAATTATATGAAAAATTGGCGTTATGAGGGAAACGAAACAGAAGAACTTACAGATCCCTACACACGCCGCAGATCAGTTCAGCGGCCCTTGCCATGACGAAAGTGTGCCGTCGTACTCAGTGTCACGGCTCGATATCTTTAACAACGAATGTGCTATAGACATTTCGAACTAGCCAATCAGCTTAGTGGCGGCAGTTTTGTTCTCAGTTGTGTGGTTCTGTTCACCACACTCCGTTCTTTTAGACGCGTAGGTGAGTTGGTACGTCGGAGGTAGAAAGGACCACGAGGCGACTTGGAACATACATACGTATTATATCGGCACGAGACTGCTCTTCAGTGGCCCCTAATATGAGTCAGGTAAAAAATAGCCGAGATGTATACATATGTTCTGAGTTGTTTAATCGGCTCCGTTGTTCACCATTTGTTGTATCAGAAGCAGGAGCAACAAGCGCACTTCTCTGATGGTGGAAACGAGGAGGCTTCCGAAACGTCAGTTCAAATACAGTTTGGTCCATGAATTCACCCTCTCTTCTTCGCCTTCTTCGAGAGGTGCTGAACGAGATACACACACAGGGAATTTCTCCAACTGGTTCAATGATGTAATGCTTACAGTCAATACCAGGATAACATGCGAATGCGCACACGTAAAATGGATTCATCTCGGAATCGAAACATATTGCAAGCGATCAGCTTATCTCTCATGTGAGAAGGGAAGGTAGTAGAATAAATTGAGTATGTGGAGCTGGAGGAGAAGGAGTTTTAATCTATATAATTACATTACGAGTACAATCACCCGATCCTTCACAAACGAAGTACCGTGAAGAGCCTCCTTAAACGAGCAGGAACTCACTGCTCTGACAACGAAACCTATCAAGCAGAAATGAATTATTTGTTCAGACTATTTCCCAGAATGGGTATCCTAGATATTTTGTACACCGACGCATGAGACGACAGGAGATACAAGAAAAAGACAAGGAACTAGATTGTTCCGATCAAGTGCCTTAACCAAAAAACTGGCAAACACTTCCATACATTAAGGATGTGTCCGAACTAGTTGAAAGACACCCGAAGAAGCACCAAAAACATGTGGCGCACAAGCTGACGACTACACTTCGTAACCAGCTTGTACACCCTAAGGATAGGGTTGGCTATTTAGGTAAGAAGGAATTCGTCTAAAAAATACCATGCAACACCTGTAATGCGGTTTACTGCGGCAAAACTGGGAAATCGGCCTCTACACGAATACACGAACATCATTTGGCCGTAAAAGGGCGGGGCCACTTGTCCCTTATTGCCGTGCATACGCTGGAAACTGGACACAAATTCGCCTGGGACAGGACTCGCATTGTAGGTTTCTGCTCATCTGGGAAGGACCGTTAATTTTTAGAGGCCATCCATTCTGATAACTCATGCATCAATCGACACGTAGAATTGGATGCGGTGTACAAGAGCCTCAAGGAGAAGTGGAAAAGGCATTGGCTAATCAGGACATTACGTCAGCAGGCTTCAGCATGCAGGTTTTGCAAGGGCAAGCCAGCACAAAACGTGGATAAGAAGAGGCATCTGTACACTACTGGAGTAATGATAAAGTGTAAACTGCAAGTGAAATCAATAAATTTACTAGTTTCAATGAGAAGCAGTTCGGCATAAAGCGAGAAGGGGCGATTGGAAGACAGGGTGAATCAAGGTACTGGAAAGATGTGACTTTATTGGAAATAATGTCAAAGATTTTAGGATTTCCGGATAGTAACAGTTGAAATATCTTCGGCTGCCGGATGATGGACTGTAGTGCGGATGCAAGTAAAGCCTAAAAAGGAGGGAGAAGACTGGAAGAGGTTAGATTCAAACTGCGCGCCGAAGTCAATCGTGATGGTGGAAGGGTTACCGCAAATGACAACCCAACGACTGAGAAAAGCCTTGACCACCAATAGAAGGGAAGAGGCGGGTCCCAGGAAGCAGCCGTAAAGAAGGAGACGCGATCGCTGGGATAAGATTTTTATTCGCCTGACTTTTGGATTCCCACTCGAACCCATCATCAGAGACAATAGCAGATACGGGTGTTTCATGCATAAGGGGCTGCAGTAATTATAGGACGCCGTCGCCATGCTACCGCATACCTTTGAAAATGCACGGCTCTCCTTCCTGCCTTTCATCAGGGATCTTTGCCCATGGTGTGATGACTGTTTGTTGGCCGACATTCGCGTCGTTAATTGCTGCAAATTCATCACGTTTGTTGGATGTTGGCGTGATGGTTGTTCGACCATCTGACCCACCGACCCTGGCGTTGGAAAGAGTGTTCACCGGTGCGCTCCCCGGGTGGCTAATTACTTCGTCGAGGCGAAGTCTCAGCACTGAGTATGGAAGGGGAATGTCGTTGCACTTTTTAATGCACAGCTAGTGGACAAAGGAAGGGGACCTACGATGTCCAGGTGGACATGACTGAACCGTGCATCCGGAATGGGGAAGGCGCCGATGCGAGCTTATTCCGCTGACAACTGAGACATACCCATGTCCATGCTTTGAAGTCTTTTTGCATCCAAGGCCAGATGCAACGTTTGAAAAACAGCTTGTAGGTAGCTCGACTCCCACGGTGCGATAGGTTGTGCAGGGAGGGGACGACCTTGAGGCGAAGGGGTGGAGACACAAAGGGACGGGGGAGGTGGTGGAGACGTCGCATAGAGTGGTGCCGTTGCCAGTAGTCAGTGGCAGGTTCTGGAGTTGGAATCCGGAAGCGTCCTTGTCACAGGGAGAACGAACATGGCGTTTTTCGACAGCAATCTCAGCTAGGTCGATCCCGGGAGAAAGTTGGAGTTGTGCGATGGAGGGCCTGGACATTACATCAGCCATCTCATTGTGTGACCTGTCGATGTGGCGGATGTCTAAAGCGAACTGCGAGATGTAGGCCAGTTGGTGAATTTCTCGGGTTTTGAGCTTGTCGGAAGTGAACTTGAGAACGAAGGAAGGGGGCAGGTGATCCGAGGAGACAGTGAAGTTCCTGCCCTCAAGGAAGTGCGGGAAGTGTTTCGCGGCGAGGAAGACAGCAAGGAGCTCCCGTCAAAATGTGCTGTAGTGCGTGCCGGCAGATGATAACTTCTTGGAGTAGAACGCTGAAGGTTGGGTGTTACCTGCAAGTTGCTGTTGGAGAACCGCGTCTATTGCGACATTGGAGGCGTCAACCATGAGGGAAGTGGTAGTACAGAAATGAAACTGCGTTATTAGGGTGGCGTCGGCCAGTCAGTCATTCAGTCAGTATCAGTCAGTATACTAGGAGTAAATGGCGGAAGCCCAGAAAACTCCATTTAAACGGTACAGGTGTGAAAGACGATATGTAAATTACAAAACTTTTGCATGCAATTTTAGTGTACAGAATACATAAATATAATAACGGAACATAAATGTGAAAGGGTATGGCATTTGCGAAATAACGGTGAAAAAATAGTTCACTGAATTCGCATTGTAGAAATTTTCATATGGGTCAATGTTAATGCACCCAAAAGGATCTGTTGAATTCAAGTTAGTAGTATGGTAACAGTCATCTCAGTAACCCACTAGATGGGCTTGAGGAGTTCGGGTTGCCTTTCAACAGATGATTATCCAGACGTCTCTTGAACACAAGCACGGTAGAGGAATTAACAACATACGCCGGCAAAGAATTCCATTGGCGTATGACTCTCTGCAAGAAAAAGGAGGAAAGTTGATTTGTGTGGCACAGTTCGTCTTTAATTTGGTAATCGTGTAGTCTGAGATAAGACTTTGGTGCCATTTCAAAAATAGTTTTCCAATCGACATCCAGATCAAGTCCTCTTATCATCTGAGACGCTGCTATGAGGTCGCCTCTGTCCTGCCTGTAGTGGAGGGGAAAGAGGGTCAAGGCCATCAGGCGCTGCTCGTAAGCAAGATATTTGAGTTCATGAACAACCTTTGATGCACGTCGCTGTACACTTTCAAGAATATCTATATCCTTCCGAAGCCACGGTCGCCAAGCCTGTACCGCTTATTCCAGGTGCGGCCGCACAAATGCCCCATATGACTTGCCAATGGAATCTGCATTCAAGTTAATAAACGTTCTGCGTATCGCGCTCATGACTGGCGTTGCCCGCGCTGTGACTTTCGAACACTGCGTGGTGACGCTTAGATCGTCTTTAATGAATACAGCGGGATCTTTTTGCACATCTACGGTTTTAAGTGGTTGATTGGCAAGAGGATACCGTCGTGTGGGTGCATTTTTTCTTCGCCTTGCTGATATTACGTGCATTACCGCGTATTTTTGACGTTGAATTTCATGCATCATTCCTTGCTCCATGCCCGCAAATTCTTTACGTCCTCTTGTAGTATCATGACGTCTTTTTCATCTTTTATCACCCTCCAAAATTTACGATCGTCTGCAAAGAAGGCTAGCTCCGATTTTACTTTCCGTACTAGATCACATACATAAATAATGAATAGGAGCGGCCCAAGAACTGACTCGTGTGTGACTCCACTTTTAACAGGTATCCATTCTGAGCAGTAGTGACTTTTTGTCTACGACCGTTTAAGAAACCTTGAATCCATTTCCGAGGATTGCCTTTTATTCTTACGCCTGACAACATTTAAACGAGGCACTTACTAGGAACGCAATCAAACGCCTTGTTGAAATCAAAATATGAGACGTCTACTGGATGCCCTTCATCCATGGCCATCGACCAATGTTCGAGCGACGTAAGCAGGCTTATGAGGCAGAACCTCCTTTCACAGAAGCCGTGCCGAACTGAACTGATGTGACAGCGGAATGCATCGAGCGATTTAATTAAATTTTTATCTATATTTTCCATCAGTTTGCAGCAACTGCATGTCAAACTAATCGGCCGCTATTTGGTGGGATATGACCGTGATCCTCCCTTGTGGATGGATACGACGTTTGCCATCTTCCATGTGTCAGGAAGTTTGCCAGCTTCCCGCGATTTTTGGAAGATTATACAGAGTAGTTCTGCTGCTACTTCAGCTATTTGACGTAGGAGTACCCTTCAGATCTCGTCTGGTCCAGGCGACTTAGCCGGATCCAGATTTTTTAACTTGGCCAAACTAGATGTCGTGTAAATAATACTGTGTTTATAAGTGGTTGGTTGGCGAACTGCGGCAGAGAACAGGACTGGGGACGATTCAGAAAAATCCTAAAAAAACTCGGCTTTTCTAAAGTCATCGCTCACTATTTGGTTATTTTTGTCCTTTAAGGTTGCAAGATGGTCTCGGATTCTCGTATTACTCCTGATGCAGGCATAAAAGGCTTTAGGTTTTTTCTATACCTCTTCTAGGAGTTTCAGTTCATAAAAAGCACGTAATTTGTGGAGGAGCCATTTGTATAAGATTCATTGTTGCCAAAAGTTTTGAATTTTTTCTGGGCTCCCCGTTTGTAAGGAGACTTTCCACAACTTGCGCTGTTTTCGGATGTTTTCGATGCTGTCCACCATTTCGGTTTGTTTCCGGTCGGATGTTTCTTGAGAGGACGGTATCGTTCAATCAGGTCTCTCATAGTTAATGCGAAGGTAGTCCAGCATTCGTTGACATCTCCTCGTAATGATTCTGTTCATAAAGTGTGTCCAATCTCTGATTCCATTGCCTCGAATTTACCCCGCCAGACATTTATTTACGACTGAGCTTCGTTCGGGGACAGCTACGAGTGTTGATTCCCACATTAGCGTCACGTGATCACAAGATCCTAGGGGCGACACAGACTTATTTCATCAACACTTTCCTCGCTCTTGGAAAACAGTAGGTTCAGGTAACTAGCTCCCAGACCTTCACGCATCCGTGTCACAGTTCGTACACGTTGAAACATAAATTTTATCAAATGCTATGTCTAATAGTCCTTGGTCGAATCCTTCTATGTGATCCTTAACTGTCAGCGAGGGCGTCTGCAGAAAGCTCGAATCAATCTTTGAGACCCGAGAGAAGGATCGTGAGCAGCAGGATGGTTTTGGACCAATTCAGGAGGAACCGGCTGTAGAAATCCACCATGTCCAGAAATCACTGCAGCTAACGTTTGGAAGATGAAGGTGGGAAATCACGGATTGCCGCAAACTTCGATGGAAGAGAATGGATGCCGCTGGGACCAACCAGATGCCTGAGACACAATTGGACGGGTTGAGAACAACGCCAAATTGGTAAAGGCGGTCAGACACCGCTGCAGGATGCTCCATGTGTTCTTTGACGGTAGAGCTAACTACCTTCAGGTCGTCTATATCGGCGTAGACAAGGGATAGACCATGAAGTACTCTGTCTACGAACCTTTGGAAGGTCTGAGAGGTGTTGCGGAGTCCAAACGGCATGCGCGGGAGGAATGACATTCAGCCGCTCACCGGTGTTTACCAAGAATCGCCGGCCACTCCGGTCGTCACTGACGCAGATGGCACGACCAGCGCTAGATCTGCCAAAAAGATTGGCAGCATTAACCTTCGAGCTTATCCGTTTGCTCTGCTGTGAGATGAAGGAGCAGGGATATATGCAGCTACGGGCTTTAGAACCAAAGCTGGGTGTGATGGTATCAGGTGGCGGCTGTTTTGGAGCGAGCTGAATGTGTAGGCTGGACATGCCGGAGGTAGATGACCTCGGCGGACTTCGAGATGATAAGGAGACTGGCAGTTCTCGAAGAGAAGCGATACCTTGAACGATCTTCGAAAACTCGAACTTCAGGCCCGAAGGAGGAGACGCAGGCGCAATTGAGGAAGTTGAAAGAGCGGAAGGTGATGACTTGGGAAAACCGCGCATCTCCATGAGCCGTTTGATCAGCTAGGTAAGCTGTGGGATAGAAAGAATGTCAGAAGTGGGTGCCAAAATAAGCCGCACATCCGGTGGAAAATTACCCATTGTCAAAGCCCGAAAAAAACGTATATTACGAAGACGGAAGGTTGCTGTTCGCTAGGAGTCTCTAGTTGTCGAGAAATGGTGTATCGGCCGACAACACAGAGAGTTCCGAATCCGAAGTTAGGGAAGACGGATTGGGTTGGACAACAAAGGTTCTGCAAGCAGTCGCCGCGAACGGTCTCCCTAGGCCAGTTGCATCGTCTGCGTCAGCCCTCAGGCCTCTTGTCCCCCAATTCCGCCAACCAACGAGAGAAGGGACAGCGTTGATTGGCCTCGAGCATTTGGGAGGCTACTAAAAAGCCTCGCGTGAACCCAGCAGTGAATCGACAGCGGGGAGTGAGGCGGACAGAAGGGCAGCACGACAAAGCGGTGGAGAACAAGGAAGCGCAGACTTCCATGGGGCACTTGTGCACCCGCTCCTTCTTACAATCCTAAACCCGGTATCAAGACAGAGTCCAGAAGACGGGGGAGAGAAGAGGACTCAAGTGGCTAGTACGACATGAAGCCGCGCCTAGGCGTGCCACCACATCCCCTGGTCTACGCGAAAAACCAGGATGCCGCAAGGCATTAAAAGAAGGATGATTCACATTCAAACTGAGTGCGAGTGCCATAAAGGCCACACTGGCAGGTAGCCATTGCAACCTTACTCTCCGTCGTGTGGGCAGAGCCCAGGTATCCTGTCAAATGGTAGTCTTTACAGTTGCAGCTTTTTGGACACCCGAACGATTTAAAAACGCATCAGATTGCTGATAGTGAGGAATATGCGCTGAGAAAGTCGATTTCACTTACCCTCTCCTCTCCGACACACGCACATGACAGCTCGATCGCCGTTGCCGATGATGTCTACTGTATGCTTCACAGGAGAGACGCTGGATTGCGCGTGAATTATTTTATATTTATAGCAGACGTGCGTGGCATCTACCGCAATCCCTCCTCCTTCTCCTTCTCCTCCTCCACAACTTGGGTCGGCCATGACCGGAATGCATGTGGCTGGTAAGGCAAAGTTCACACCCAGGCATACCATCAAATCCCCTGGTCAATAACTTCCACTGACCACTATGTTACACAACACACACACGCACACACACATGATAGTTTGACCATCGATTTCGATTATGTCCACCGTGTGCCCCACAGCAGCAGCGGTGGGAGCAGGGACGGTGACTTGCGCAGGGGTTTATAGTGCCAGTGGACTTGCGCTAATCTACCGACACTCTCTCCTCCTCCCACGCCTGAGTCCGGTGTCAAGACCGAGTCAAGAAGACCGGAGACGAGGGAGCTGCAGGTGGATGGCTCGGACGGATCCTCACCGTGGCGTTCCACTCCGAACCCCCTGGTGGACACAACAAATAACCAGGATTTTGACCGCCACAACAATGGGATGATGGCAGTGGTCCCAGTTATGCGACGAATGACGCCGACCCGGTCTGCCAACGCATCGCGTAGATGTTGGTATTTGCTATTGCGCACAGATAGCGCCTGCCAGAATCTGATGTGGCCCACGTGTTGGTCCAGCGCATCTAACCCGTGGCCCGTTTAGGGGGCACACACGCACGCACGCACACACACACACACATACACACGATAGTTCGACCGTCGGTTTCGCCGATGTCCACCGTATGCTCCACAGCAGGGTGGGAGCAGGGACGGTGACTTGTGCGGAAATTTAGTTTAAAGCGATAGTAGACTTTCACAGCATCTACCGCTAACTCTCCTCCCCTCCCACCTGGACCCGATGTCCAGACAGAATCAAGAAGACTGAAGACGGGGGAGGGCGCAGGTGGATGGCACGGTCGAGCCCACACTTTAACGTTCCACTCCACACTCCCTGGTCCACGAAACAAATAACCAGGTTTTTGAATCACAGCAACAATGGGGGGTAAGTCAGTGTAAGTCAGTTTATTAAGGGAATGAGGCTTTCGCCCTTGAGCACCCTATTCATATCGATAAACAGAAATAAAGTCATCAATTACATCAGCAAATGCGAAACGTTAAGAAGTTAGCGGTAACTGTGAGCCAGGCGTAAACTGCCGCCGCTAAAACAATCATGATTGTATGTACAGTAGGTTCTCAACAAGTGAGCGTCTAGTCTGCACTTAAAGGATTTAACACTTTCGGAAAGAACGACGGCATCAGGGAGTCCATTCCATGCCCCGATGACCCTGTGTGAGAAGGCGTTCCGTCGGACGTCCGAATTAGCCCGCTTCCTTTGCAGTTTGAACGGATGACCACGCAGACGGTCAGTCCGGGCCAATTCAAAGAATTTATCAAAATCTAGGGCACACTCTCGGCTTCTGACAATCCTGTAGGTTTGAATGAGATCGCCGCGCAGTTGCCTGTAATTTGGAGGAAACAGATTTAGTTCAGTCAGCCTGGTTTTGTAAGGCAAATGATGAAGATTCTTGACCATCTTCGTAGCCATCGCCTGTACTCTTTCCAGTCGCTGATAATCTTTCTTTAACCACGGTCGCCAGGCCTGGACTGCATACTCTAAGTGAGATCGGACGAATGCCCCATAGGTTTTTCCGAACAGCTCCTTGTCGATCTGCACAAATCCACGCCTCGGCGCAAATAACACCCTTATCGCACTTTTGGCTGCCCTTTGACACTGTGAAGATGGTTTCAGCGAGGAGGTCATAAGGACTCCCAGGTCTTTCTGTTCCACAACATTTGAAAGGGACTGACCACCAAGGACATATTGAAAGGAATCGTCCTCCTTACTGGTCTGTCTGGTGCGGAGTCTCAGGACCACACATTTGTCCACATTAAAATTGAGGAGCCAGCGAGCTGACCAGCTGTTTAGGCGGTTGAGACTGTCTTGAAGCGCGTACCTGTCTGCATCAGATCTGATGGGTCTCCACAGCTTAACATCGTCAGCAAACATGATGGCGCTGCATCCCAGGTCTTCGACGCAGTCGTTAATGTAAACCAGGAATAGCAACGGCCCTAAGACGGAGCCCTGGGCTACACCACTTAAAACGGGAGTCGGAGTTGACCTTGAGGCCTCAACGCACACGGTTTGCGATCTCCCGGTAAGAAAATCTGTTATCCATGTCAGCAGCGTTCCTCTTATCCCAATTTCAGAAAGTTTGTAGATAAGGCGTTTGTGTGGGACGCTGTCGAACGCCTTCTTAAAGTCTGTGTATATGACATCAACCCTCCCATCCTCATCCAGTGCGCGAGTCCACTGCTCCGTCGAGAGCAATAAACTGGAAAGACACGAGCGGTTCTGTCTAAAGCCGTGCTGCAGGTCTGAGATTAAATGGCCCTGCTCCAGGAACTCCATAGTTGCTTTCTTAACTATGGCCTCCATTATTTTACAGCAGATGCAGGTTGGACTAACAGGCCGGTAATTGTTAGCATTAGTGCGAGCCCCGCCCTTGTATATCGGAAAGATATTTGCTGTCTTCCATTCCGATGGCAACCTCCCTAATTCGAATGACGAGCGGAAGATGTGCGCCAGTGGTTTGGAAAGTTCATTCGCCAGTTCCTTCAAGAATTTGGCCGGTATATTGTCCGGACCCGAGGACTTTGCTTCTTTGAGATTTTTTAGCTCCCTTTCCACGGCAGCTGCCGGGAAGAGTATGGAGTCAAGCACGGGACCAACAGTCTCAAGAGCATTGCCGGTACTGCGACAGCGAAACTCAGTTTCTCTAGTAAAAACGGAGGCAAAATACTGTCCTAAGTGTTCGGCTTTCTCGTTGTTCTCACTGATCTCTACACCATTATCATCCTTCAGCACCGCGACCGGGTCCTTATTTTTCAGTCTACTGTTCAGATAGTGAAATAAAATCTTAGGCTTCTGTTCAGCCTGTCGTATAATTTTGGATTCATACTCCTTCCGTGCCTGACGGATACATTTTTTGACGGCGTTTCGTTGACGACGAAATTCTTCGAAATGCGCTGGTGACGCAGTTTCCCTGAATATTTTCCATCTTTTGCTTTTCTTCCGTAGCTGCTTATTTAGGTCCCTAGTTAACCAAGCAGGTCGACTAGTTGTTTTTTGTACTTTAGGTGGACAACAGCGCCTAATCAGATCGAGTGAAATCGTTTTAAAAGATCTCCAGTCGTCCTCCGGATCTCCCCTGAATATTTGGTCCCAATTCACGGACAGCAATTCGTTCATCATCAGGGTAGCAGGGTCCCAGTTTGCGCGACGTATGCCGTCAACCGGGTCCGTAACCGCGCACCCAAATGTTGGCATTTATTATGGTACGCAACTTCGATAACGCCTGCCAGAGTCTAATCTGGCCACCGTGTTGGTCCAGCGCATCTATCACGTGACCCGTTTGGGAACACAATTTAACTCAAAACACACACACGTGTTAAGACAACCCTCTGACGGGAGGACCGATGAAATAAGAGGCCCGTTCATGTACTCTACGCTGTTTAATTCAGAGACTAACACTTTGTCGAAAGCCACCTGCAGGATTTGCCAGGTAGGAACGGATGATGACCGTTTGAGGGCTGGCTTCAAACAGGTTAAATGGTGACTTTAAATAGCCTGCGGGCCTGTAGCTATGATAAAAGTGAAGTGTCAAAGTGTTGTGCCTTACGGCGGGCGTAATTACTAGCTACAGTGGATGGAGAAACATTAAAGAAGTAGAAATATGAGCACCCCTTGGTCTCAAAAAAGGACGCAAATACACACTTATCGAAAATGAAGCCTTGACGGTTAGGGATTTTCACTGAATTAGACGAACTGCGTTCAATAATCAAGCACACTTTTCACACAAGAATGGGTGCACGCCGATCTATTGGCTTCCCGAGGCAACCAAGTTCCAGGCCAAAGTTGGCCAAGTCATAATAGCAGCGAGGAGGGATGACGGGTAAATTGATACAATATCGTTTAGGACAGCCAATAGATCGACGTGCGCCCATTTCTGATTGAGTAAATATCCGATCTGCAG